TTTTTTTTTTTACTTGGTCAAGTTACTTTGTTCATTTTAAAGTGTACTCTCTTATTGGATGAATATTAGTTTGTCTCATGGTAATATTGTTTAAAAATTATCAACGAAATGATTAGATTAAGTGGTAAGCGGTTTGTTTCGGTTTAAGTAAGGTCTCGAGTTTGAGATCTTGTGAACGCAGTAGCCTTCGTTGGGAGACTCACCTACCATCTCCAGGTGCGCGACGCGGGTCGATCCGGATTAGTTGAGGTAAAGCCTCGGATACCGGACGAGAAACCAAAAAATATTGTTTAAAAATTTAAAAAAAAATTGTATTTTTTTATTATCATATTATTTAAAAAAACTGAATATAAAATAATAAATAAAAATAAAGCTCAATTTAGTTTTAAAAAATAATTTTTTTATAATAAAAATTAATTTATAATATAATTAATTATAAAAAATAATTTATTATATTATAACTTTCATAAAAAAGTGGATATATTTAATTATGAAAAATGAAATAATTAATTATATTGACATAATCATTTCCTTTTCAAAATAATTAATTATATTGTTAAAATAAGACATTATATTTCTTTCTATAACTAATTACATTGAACTTTGGTTTTTGTATTTAGAAATTTATTTTTTTGAGCCAAGCTGAGCTCCATTTTACTCGGCTACTCTCATAATTTGGATTCTTTTTTTCTAAATAACATGCTAATCAAAGAGGCCCTCAAAGTAAGCAAATGAACCATTAACTAATTTTATGTATTTATTTATTTAATATAACATCATGTTATCATGTAAATTTATAATTTTATGGGATAATTTGAATATATTATTTTTTTATGGTTTTAATGACTACATAACATGAAATAAGGGTTTGATTGTATTTAATGTTAATCACTTAGCAATTCTCCCTCAAATTGTTCTTATTCCCAGCCACTACAAAGGTTTTGTACTTATTTTAGAATGAACAAAGTTCATACCCTCAATTTCAAAATTGGTGAAAGATTGTATTAAAAACTTAAATATCCAAAATTTTTAAGAAGTTCCAATTCACTTACCTATACCTAATTCAAAAATATTCGTATTTTTCAAAATTAGAGGTTTTTGACTCAAATTATTTGTGAAATGAATGAGAAGTACTATAAAAGAAAAGAGCTCATCTTCCATTATGTATCTCAACATAATATAATTAAGTAAAACCTAATTAGGAAAAGAAGATTCACTGACTCACCTCTTCATTATCAAATTTGAGGTGACTAACAGCATTCATTACTGTAAGCACCAGAAAATATAAGATTGCTAATGGCATGTTTAAACTCAAGAAGTGAGCATCCACATGTATAAAAAGCTCATCATTGTCACTGAATTGAGCCTCATAAGAGCAAAGAGATCATTTCACATCATGATGATGTTTGTAAGACATCAACTATATATTTTCTAAAACATTGAAGAAAATGGAACACATTATTTGCATTATTTACAACATAATGAGTTGCATTTTTATTAATAATTAAAGAGGAATTGTCTTTCTCCTTGTTTCAATTTTTGAGGAAGTTATGAGTAGATAATTTAACATGAACGATCTAGTGTAGTTAGTCACAACTAATTTCCTGTAAGAGGGAATGGTAAGAGCTCCTCCTTTGGCGCCTCTCTTTTGCTCTTTTGCTCTTTTGCTCTCGTGGTCTTTATCTCATGGGATCGTCACCAACCATAGTATAGGAAACTCAACGATATAGTTAGATATATTGTTAAATAAATATTATTTTACATAATATATTTAAGATATATTTCTTTTTTATGTTCTTCATGACGAAATGTAATTTATTTTATTTTTTATTGTACTTTATTCGCATGTTATGCAATTTAAATTTAAAATCTTTTATTTTTAATGAAAAGAGATTACTATTAAATTATTTAAATTACTAACAAAATATAAGTTTTAAACTCAATACATAATAAAATTGATTTTTTTAGATACACAAAACTAGATATGAGGTTTGCAAGATTGCAAAATTCACACGAAACATTATGATCGTGAATATAAAAATAATAATAAAAAAAAACAAATGGAAAACTCACTTTTGTAATCAAAGAGCCCTTCATCTGATGATGCAACTCATGCCACACACAGCTACAAAATACCAAGAATCATAGAAGAAA